TGGTATAGCCTAAAGCCTTTTAGGTTTAAGCTTTTTTAAGATTCCTTTTAAACATTGTGAGCGAGCTTTTACAAAAGCGATTCGTGTTTTACACACAGTTTGGCAAGTTGAACAACTTTTCCTGGGGACCTGAAGAAAGGATTTTTCTTTCTATTGAACATTCTTCATCACAACAACAAAAAACAAAAAAAACAGCCAAACAGTGGACTAAAAGAGAATTACAAATGAGGAAAACCATTGAGTTTTAAAGGAATGATTCTTGATTGCATATATCGCTGCCATTTAGAGCCCATTGTCCTTCCTGTTAGTTGGCAGACCTTGGCACAATGTATTGATGGCGCCCTTCTTTTTTCTTTCCTTATTTGTTTTTATCCTCCCATTTTGAGGGTAACACAGGCATCAAAAACATTCCGATCGCTTTATAATTTCCACAGTAATCAAGTTCTTTTTTGCGCTAAAGCTTTAATCAAACATCTCATACCCTCTTTCAGCCAGAAGTGTCTTATTCGAACAAAGAAACAAAACAGCATGCAATTACTCCAGCAAGACCTGTCCCTCCTCTCTGCCACAGCTGCAGGATGGAGGGCAGTGTTCCAAACAAGTCCGCCTCTTTCTTTCTTCCTTCCTCTCTTCACTGTGTTGAACACAAGCTCCCCTAAAAAGAGATCATGTAAAGCTGTGTTTAGTGATATTTAATCTTGAGGTACAAAAGTCCACAGAAATGGGTTGGTATATATTTCCTACATTGAAATCACCCAAAGATTAATGAGGGTTTCCGCTATGGTTGCCTCAGTCATTTGTGCAAAAGTTAGCCTTTAATGGTTATGACCTAGAAATAATTGTGTGATCTAATTAAATGTTAGATGAACAAAGGTAATTGCAGCAAAGTAATGTACCGTACCTTTATTACTTTCTCATTTTATGTGAGATGCCTATCACACTGCCAGTGTCAGCCCACCTCTGGTATGTGACCATATCTGAAAGGCTGTGTTGGACACATCCATGGGCTGAAAGGACAATAATGATTTTTGCCCATTATTGGCACTTACTTTCTAAATTACCCTGAGGGTGAAATGGCAAAGATGATTGGAAGCTTCTAGCTAAACAAAAGGGCATTTATTTTCTTTTTTACACAAGCATTTGAAGGCATAATTGTTCCAAAAACACTGTTCTATTTTTTTAATATTTTTCATTCTAGCGACACTTATTATGCTTTACGGAATAATTTGGGTCTTTTATTTGAGTTCCCCTGACTTGCAAATAAAATTGCACTTATATACTTACATATGAGACGCTTTATTTGATGTGAATATCCTTTTTGAGTGTTGGCCCATTAATTGGTGTTTGTACGAAACATTTTAGCATTACACTGCTATCTTTATGCGAGACCTACCTTACCCCTGGATAATCAGCCCGCATTATAATTAGACTTGTCACTTCTGTGGAGATTGAACTAATTGTATCTCTAGTATTCCATTTTTTATACATTTTTGCAGTCAATTCATGTTATTAAATCTCTTTGCAATCATGTGATGTGATGCTGACTCTTCATTCCATCACCAATGTGATGGAATCAATATATGTTGAAATCCCTTGAATTTTTAAGGTAAACATCTGTAATTAAATATAGTCTCTTTTACTTTTTGCATAATATAACATTTTTGCAAAAGATCAACTGTAAATAGCTGTAGTTGTTACCAATCACATATCTGTAAATCAAAACGATATAACAGATCCAAGTTAAAGATATTTGGAAATACTTATCAGTTAAGAGATTTTCTTTAAAAATATGTATCAACTGGGAATAGCTTATTTGTCAGGGTGACATTCTGTTGCATCTCTTTTTGCAGTTTCAACAATGTTTTGATTGATGTGATGAAATGGTATCAAAATATCCCTGAAAGACAAATGGGAAATATGACATCTATTTTTATCTATATACTTTTATTGTTTAGGATTTATCATTTTTTGTGTTTATTTTCCGTTTTTAATTTTTTTCCTGATTGTTAACTTGGTTTTTAAATAAAACATGTTTGAATAAAAAAAACGTGTAACGTTTACTGTCCCAACGTTATTTAGACATTGTAATTAAATCTTTCCAAATTGAAATGTGTTCTTAAATTATAACTGGGACAATTCTCCTATTTATGTCTGTATCTTTTATTCAGATCACGAAAAATGTATATTAGTCCGTAACCTTGAGATTTCTAACCACATGTTTTTGTTTTAAACGTACCGCACGTGAACACACTCGTGGCATGCTGTACTAGCGGTCTATTTGGATGAAGATATAGCCGGCTCAAGAAAATGGGAGACGACTTGGGTGACGAATGGTGGGAGCAGGAGGGTCACTCAGGTATGTCGTTTTATTCTTGTGTTTAATTTTACCATGTATTTGGTCAGTGTTACCGTGTCGTACTTAATTTATCCTGTTGCGAGAACTTCGAAGCCAACGCTAGCTAGCTAACAGTTGCTAAATTGCTAACAGGGACAACCAGCATGTAAACCCCCGTTCCTAAGGCGCTTGTCATCAACGTGCGTGTAAACACGTGTCTGTGAGTAGTCTCATTAAAGGATAACTAGAGGTAAACACGCTGAAATATCAACATACGTGTCCTGTGTAAGCTTGTTTTGCTGTGGGTGTTTTATTTGTGTGCCTATGTCAAACTTCATATCAGAACAGTAGAGTTTCCCCTCGGCTACTTTTTTCATACCAACAGAGGGCAGTCACGCAGTTCAAAGATTAACCAGCAGATATTTGCTTGGTTTAAATACGTTTCATGTGCACAAAAGGAAACCAAAATCGATTACATCTGTTCAGTTTCCTTCTAACATTCATACTCTTTATACCTATCGCTGTTAATTAAAATGATATGTATATTATTGCTACAAGCAGCAACAAATCGTTTTAGACATGTGTTATATAAATACAACAAATGCCTGAAAATCACCCACAGGACCACTTAACTACATTTGTTACGGTTCCATTTCAATTATAAATGTTTGTAATTGTATTCTATTTGAGCTACTTATAACATTCCTGTACCTGTAACTTCTGTTGTTTTTTTTAATGATACTTTAAGATAGTAGGCCTCCTTTTTGACCTTTGCATACAGGCAAATGTAACCAGTTATTCAGTTAGATGATGGATTAGTTGTATTTTGACACTTGCTACAGGTTTCTCCTTGTAGATACATAAGATCAGGATTTTCTCTGCTTGCACTGTGATGAGAGCTGTCTTTTTGGTGTCTGTGCTCTTACCCTTTGGTTTAGTGATTCCACATTTGAATCCGTTTCTGATGTGATCCCAAAGAAAGGAGATGTAAACGTAGAAATGTATGGTGAAACTACAGTACTTCTGCCATGCTTGAGCCTATGGAGTAATGTTAGAGGGGTTTGTTACCCATGTTAGCTATTTAATCAGGTCTTATTTGCATTTGTTTCCCTCGAGGAGGCTATTTATTTGATTAGCTCTTGTCACTGGCTGCAAACATTAATTTCAAGATGCCTTTAGATTGACGAGTGGTGCTCTTGTGGGAGGGATATCATATTTGAAGTATTTGCCTCCTCTGGCAGGTGCTTTTTCTAATCACATTTTGCATGTAACATTATTTTCCACAGGCTATGTTTACCGCACACAACCTGGAGATAGTGGCACTGTGAGTGTTCACCTTCATGGGGGAAAATGTCAGTGGCTTTTAGACCATGCAGTTCGGTTTGAAGTCATGCTTTGAAATCAGAAACCTGCTGATGCTTCGTTAGCCAGGGGTCCTGGCCAGAATTTTGTTCCTCCAGGTTTCTTTACTTCCTGCAACATGTTTTTCATCATGTAAAGATGAAATGGCTTTACACTTTGATTCTGACAGGCGAGGGGGGGTGATAAATGGGCTTTTTTCCATCGGGCTGGTTTGGCGCGCTTATCTTCCCGGCTCGATGCACCACCGTGTCACAAGTGATCGCCATCTGCATCGCCACTGCAAGTGTGGCCGTCCATCTTTGACGAAGGGTAAAAAGTGTAGAGGAAATGCGATTTGCTTTCATACATAGCAGACTCAAACCTTTTAGTGACTGCTTATGAAGACAGATATGGCAGATAGTAAAGTTTCTCATGAGAGCTTCAGTCAAGCTGCAGTCTGCTGCCCCGAACACTCCGCAAATGTTTCACCTCACCTTTCCAGCTGTTGATGTCAGCATTATAAATGGCATTGTTACCATGCTGCTTTATCTGGAGGGTTCAGCTCAACTCAAGTTTTTTATTTTGTTTATTTATTAATTTTTTGTCACTGAAGAATTTATGATCATGTGCTTGTTTAAAAAGGTTCATGCTGCTTGCATTCCCTTAAAACTATGAAGGCTATCATTAAAGTTTCAGTGTTGCTGGTTCTTTTTTTTTTTTTTTTTTTTTTTTGCTGACCTAAATACAGATATCAGATATACAGATCTTGCAGGAGTAACCACTTTGGCCCGCGCGTTGTACATTTTCTTTCCAGTTTCTCATTTTAGTTTGGAAGCAGAGACGGACGCTATGCTGTATTACCCCATAATGAGCGGCCTTCTGTTTTTTATGCCCTTGCCTTAAGTGATGCACTGTCATAACCTGCTTCCAGAAATCATTGTTAGTTTGTTTTTTTAAATGATACAACTTTGTCCCTACTGTTGGATAGTCCGGATAGTTCTGCCACATCCAGTTTTAGCAGTAAAAAGTCAAATCCATTTTTGAAAATAATTTTAACTATAGATAGGATTTCTACTTAAGGGGCTCTCACAACGCTATTTTTATCAGATTGCACAGTTTAATTAAAAAATGTTAGGAATGTTCATACAAAGAAAAGAAAATGATGTCTCAAAAAAAGTAGCAAAGGAGATGAGTTGATGGATGTGTTTGGGGAAATGAAATCATAAAATGTTGAAAATGTGCCTTAATTCTAAGAATTGAGGACTTCCCCAACTTTAATGTCCACAACCACCATCGTTCTCTTCTTTTTTTTGTTATGACTTTACTGATTATATTCTAAATTCCAACTGGCTAGTAAATCAAGACCTTTAAAAGCAACTCAACACTAACTCATAAGAAAAAGCACGTTTTAATGAACACAGGAATAAGAACATTTCAAAAGAAAAAAATGACAATAGCATAAAGCACACACATTAATCACAAGGTGTGTTTGTACATAGTTAAAGGAAGGCAAGCTATTCTAGGAGTCCATCGGGTAATTTGTCAGTGGCTGTTTTTCCAAACGAGAGGAAATTTTTTTGCATTTGGTGTCTGACCCTAGTCACAGAGGCCACTTACTGTAATGTTTGATGAGTGTGTTGCAGAAGCATTAGCAGGAGATATGGTGATACTGCTTGTAATCTTTCCAACACCTGTGACGTGACAGCCGTTAGCGATCACCTGAGTCCTTTGCTCGTGTCGCAGATAGTAGGGCCCGGCAGGCTGCGAGGGGCCGGGGGTCGTGCCGTTCATTGGCTGGATATACGGGCTCCCCAGATGGATTTGGATCTTGCTGTCCTCTGTCGTGATGATACTGGGGCCGGCGTCGGCGCTGTTGGACCCGTGGCGTTTCCAACCGTCGGGCTGCTCGGGCGTCTGGCAGAACGCGGCCTGATCCTTCGCCTCCGCCGGCTCCGGAGAGCAGGTCCTCACCGTGACGATCTGGATGGGCGAGCCGCCGTTGTCGGGCGTGAGGGAGCGAGTTGAGTTCTGAGTCAGCAGGCGAGAGGCCGGCATCCCGTCTGGCGGCGAGACGGCGCGGTTGAGGCCGGCGCCGGGGGTCCTGTGCGTGGCCGGCGACTGTCCCGGGCTCTGGATGATGGTTATTCTCTGTTTGGGCGAGGCTCCAGACGCCGGGATGACCGCCGTGCTGGTGTAGGAGGCGGCCGCCTCTCCGGACGGGCCGCTGATCTTCAGCGTGGCCGTGTTGAGCGCGTGATGCGGCGTCACTTTGATGTGCAAGGGCTGCCCAGATGTGTGCGTTAACATCATCACTTCTCCATTAACTACCTGGTGCGGGTCTATTTCCAAGTGACTGTTGTGCCGGCTCATGTTGTTATTTGCTGTGTTCAGGCTTTTACCATTTGCAACGTCTTGATTTGTTTCTTTCTCCTGGTCTAGTCTCCCACCGTGCCCATTAAAGTCAGAAAGGATTCTCTCTGCAGGTTCAGTTTGCACCTCTTTGGTTATTTGATGGTAATCTGAGCAGTGTTTCTTGACATCTTGTGTCCTGTTCTGTCCTTTTCTGTAACCATCTACTTCATTTTTTAGTTGATCCATCTCTCTGGTCAGCTGTTGGTTCTTGGCCTCCTGCTCAGTCAGTTTCCTCTGCAGGGCGGATTGATCCATCTGCCCCCTGCAGATAGACTCCTCTGCACCTAACTGCTTCTGGAGTTTCTCCTTCAGGGCCTCCACCTCTCTGGTTAACAGCCTGGACTTCACCTGCTCCTTCTGGAGGTAGCAGAGCAGAAGGTGCTCCTGGTTCACCTCCAGCTTCTCGGCCTGCTCGTACCTGCAGAGCTCCTTCTTTGTCACCTCCAGCTCCTCTGTCAGGGCCTCTGACCTCCTCTGTTCATCTTGGAGCCTCCTTCTTAAGCACTCATAGTCGTACTTTACTTTTCTCAGCTCTCCCTCTAAGTCCTCCCTGTCTTTGAGTTTCTGCTGGAGCCTGTCACACTCCTGGTTCAGCTCTTTAACCTTGTTGTCCTCTGTTTGGAAGTGGTAGGTGGCGTTGTTTGGAATGGAGCAGTTTGTATACTCCTCCTTTTCTTTCCTGTTGTCAAAGGCATTTAATTTTTTTTTCATAATGGTGATTTTACTCTGTAGCTCTCTGTTCCTCTCCTCCTCTGTTTTTAGTCTGTCTCGGAACTCATCTTTTTCCTTCTCGATGCCCTTAATTTTCTCCTCCAAGTCTGCCCTGGACCTCAGTGCCAGCTGCCTCTCTTCCCTCAGCCTCTCTGTCATTGTTGCCAAATGAGCCTGCTCGTTCCTTTTGCCTTCCTTCCTGTAGATATTTTCTTCTGCCTGACGGAGTTTCTCCGCCATACTCTTTCTGTCCTCCACCAGGGCCACAGTCAGAGACCTGAGCTTTCCCAGGTCCTGTCTGACCACCATTTCGCTCTTTTCTAGTCGGCCCTCGGCGGCCTCAAGCTCCCTCACCCGGAGTCTCAAAGCATCAAGCTCCCGGGACAACCTGTTGCCCTCCTCTCTCTCTCGCTCCAGGCTGCTCTTCAGTAGATTACAGTCCTGTTTGCTTTTCCCCAAAGCCTCCTCCACCCTGTCAAGTTCACTGATCCTGTCGCTGAGCTTGTCCACCTCAGCCTTCAGCCTGCGGCTCGTGCCGGTTTCCTTTGCCAGTCTGCGGTCCAGGTCTGTACACTGGTCCGCCATGCGCAGCAGCTCCTCGTCCTTTCCCTCCATTTCCACCACCCTTCTCCGGAGCACCTCCACCTCTGTCAGCAGGCTCGGAGCTGCCATTTTGTTCTGGTAAAGGTGGAAGTTTGAAACTCGATCGCGCTGCTCCTCCTGAAGATATGAGGATTGAAGCCCCCTCTTCTTCTTCCCCCTGGGATCAGCAGCACAGACTCCCTGTCCGATAACGTCAGCGATGGTCCTCAGATGGTTGATTTTGCACCTCTGCTCCTCCACCAGCTCGCTCAGACACCGCTGCTCCTTCACAACCAGCAGCGCAAAAGCCTTCAGCTTGGTCAGCTCCTCTTTCAGGATTGACAGCTCTCCGTCTTTCTTCTTGTCCTTTATTTCATGGTATTTTCTTTCCTTTGTCAACAGGAGCTTAAGTCTGCAAAAAAAACAAAAAAGGCACTCACGTCAGACTAATTTGTTCAGGTTTTTAATGCGGAACAAACTTTTATCTGCCTCTCAAAAGTGCTTAAACTGCATCCCGTGTGGGAAAACTACTTCCTTGTGTTGTCCTCGGTTCCGTCAGAGGACCCTCAAATGTTTTACGGCCAGATGATATTTTTTTTTATAGAAGCTTGGAATCGTTCTTGTCTTTTACCACATGCAGATCCATCTGTGGGATTCTGTAATGCTTTACTCTTCAGGCAGCGTGCTGTCTGTGCATGGCAGATGGTCCCCTGGCAGGGAGCATTTGTTAATTAAGAAGCCCCTCAACCCTTGAGTACCCTCAACATTGCACCCATGCTACCAAATTTTTGTAGCTCGAAGACGCAAGATTTCCCCCTCTCGTAAGTAATTACGAGCATGCTACTTTCACAAAGTAGATGTTGACCTGAAAAGTATTAAACGGCTGTCAAATGTTTTTTTTTTCATAAAAAATGTCTGCGGGTTGTTCCACCAGTGTGTTTATGCTGTTTGAAGTAAAAAGGTTTAGCCTCTAATTTATTTGTTTTTCTTTTTTTATTCGACTGATGTTGCATGCCAGAGGAACGCAGAGTGTATTTTCTGATTTAAAATGTCGATTAGTTTGTTTTATCTTAAATAAAAGCAGCTTAAAAGTTTCTGTTAGTATACCCACACCTGAAACCATGCGTCTGGGTCAGAGAAACATAACTCAACAGCATTGTGTTTAGCAGCCGCACATTGGCACGACGCATGTTGTGTCATCTGAAGCTGTACTGTCATTTGCAACCCGCTCACCCCAAGTCAGTAAAACGTGTGCGTGGGTCGGTGAAATTATGAATATTTCTTTCGGAAAGGAATGCGGTGTTCCATCGGAAAATAAGGCGTGAACGGTTGAAATCGAGCACATGGCGCAACCTCAGTATGTGTCCTGTTTGGTTTTAATTGTACTCCGCAGCCCCGCAAAAGATATGCAAATCCTCAAATTCGACTCCCTGTCTTCAAATGCTCAACTCAGATACTGTACGTTTCAGTTTGTCTTCACAAGACACACTCTGTATCTGCTTTCTGCAGGATTAGCAGACAGTTACTTGTAAACAGCCCTTGTCAGCACACCTAAAAACTTTCACAAACTCGAGCGAAAGTTTGCATCTCGATAGGGTAGAGCAGAATTGTTGTTCCTACCTGTGTGGTTCTGCCGCCCTCTGTCCACTTTTTTTCTTTCTTTGTGCTTTGTAATCCTCAGGCAATATATGGTCTCTACTCTTTCACCTTTCCCTTTCCTCGAGTTCCCAGTGATGTGGACATTCCACCCGGAAAGCCAAACATTATGAGAAGTGCTCTGCGCACAGAGTCTCTCTCGCAGTCAGTGGCGCCCATTACATCATCAGCAAATCCTTATATGGGGACTGTTCGGGCTCTTCTGCTGCGAGTGTGTATGTGTGTGCGCGCGTGTGAGTGTTTCTTCTGGACCTCGGCCCACTGCAGATGAGGTCATTGGGTAGCCATGCCAAAGAGGCTAATGGGAAGGACAGAATGGGGTTCTGTGTGTGTATGTGTGTGTGTGTGTGTGTGTGCACGCTAAGAAAACCATCAATCACAAGTTAGACCCAAAAGGATAAGGCTCTCTGTTTGCAGATTAGCTTGAGCAAACATGTTAAACATGCTGCAGAAGTGCCAGACCTGACTTGGCATGTCCTTGGAAACATATCTCCCTCTGGAAGCATGCAAAGTGCATGATGTTGTGTGTTTATGTGGCGTTCTCATATGTTTGAAGGGAAGAAAGGAAAAAAAAAAAGACATGTTTTGCGAGTTGAAGCTGTTTTGCTTTAGGCCCGATAATCTGACAGGGAGATGACATCATCAGTTCATCGGCCCCTAGATTACATCCATATGTCTCCCTCACTCTTTCCTCCATCCAGCTTTTCTTTATCTCTTGTCTTTTTTTTTTTTTTTTTTGCTCCCCACAACTTTCTGCCTTAACTCTGGTTACTCGGCATGTCACGAGAGGAATCCAAAAAATTGTAATTGAGTCGGAATATTTTCGCATTGAAATGGCATAAGTATAGGTTTGGTCATGTTACAGCTCCTGGTCCCTGCTCTGACGGGGGAATACACTTCTTTATGTAAGGCCAAAAGCATTAGGACTCTAATTTCCCCGTGTCATGTTTTCATTAACCAACAGCTCGAGAAACATCCAAAAGCCTGCCCTCAAACTTCACTTTTTGCTATACGTGAAAGGGGCATTTTTGCATTCATGACATGCAAATAACGACAGTGAAACTGAGATAAAACTACGGAGTTGGACATTTTAAAAGCTGTGCAGCATCTTACCCTGAAAGAGAGGCTGACCTGTTGAGGGTGTGCAGCACGTTGTAAGGGCAGCAGCATTTAAAGTTAGCTTGCCTCCGTGTTGTGCAGCATGCCCATTACACAAGTTAGTGATGTAAGCACTGTATTCTGAGAGCGGTTGGCACTCCCGTTAATCCTTTAACCGATTTAGGGTAACTTTGGCTGCTTGTTTCAACAACAGATCGGAGCCAATAACATTTAATCTGTTGGTTTCTGGTTTGTAGCGGTTACTGAGCTATTGCAGATCACAAAGCTGAGCACATGCTCTTGGATTTACTGTGCTGCTTCCAGCAGACCCTTTCTTTCCTCATGGGTCTGTGTAGGGTGGGGATCGTTGCATTGTTTGTTGGCGTTGGCTCTTTAATGGCCCTTTCCCACCAGTACCTGCTCCGGTCCACTCGACTTAACTGGCCTCCGTTCAGTTATGGTCGTTTTCCATCACAAGCAAAGGTTTAACAGCATGAAAGTGCTGTGGTGTCATCTGTACGCGACACAAATGGGACACAACACTGCAGGACTTACAGCAGCAGGACCCCATCGTTGGACGGCAGTGTCGGTTGAAGTGTGTCCCTCCACAAAATTGACAATCACAAAAATATAGAATTTGCATGTTTGTTTTTGTCGCGTGATTGGATAAAATAAGCAGGGATCCCATGAAGGAGTCTCTTTCCAATCAGACGACAGCCTGGCCAATAAGAACCGAGTAGAGGTTGGTGAAAAAGGGCCGTGAGGCGCTCGGCCGCATACTACCGTCTGGAGCTGCACAAACTGAAACTTCCTCTGGTGGCTCATGATTCTGCAGCGGCCATTATTATTAATGCTTATCGACATCACAAAAGAAGCCAAAGACACTATTGTTGTTCACGTCTTTGTCAGCCACCTAAGAGCTCTCGCTCGTCTCTCCTTCTAACATAACGATTCTTCTATCGTTACGGGGGATCCCATCTCAGACTAGCATTTTCCACAAGGTGCTTTTTTTTGAGGGGGAAAACATTTTAATGCTTGAAAAAGCTGCTTATTTTAGTTTGCGATAGTACGACTCAGCCAGCATTCCCTCCCACACTTGATGGCGTATTAATCTGTTTTTTGCTGATAAGACTTCAACTACCTCAAAAACAAGCACGCATGTTGTTTTTCTGCTTCTCGTTGTCTTTGATGAATTCTTTTTTTTTTTCTTTTTCTGAATGGAGATTAATTAATGCTCATTTCCTGCTTGGGCTGACCCGTTGGACCCTTTCTAACCATTGTAGAGGACAGAGTCTGCATATCACAAAAATGTTCCGGTAATTAAATCCCAATATTTCTGTCTTGACATATTTTCTTAAAGGTAAAGTAATTCGACGGTGAGATATAGACACTTTTTTTATTTTAAGTAAACCTTACTGTAGATTCTCTACTGTTATACTCCCAAACTCAAGTTTACGTGGTCATATCTTAGAGTATGGTCTGGCATCTGGCCACTAGTCTTTTATAAAAAACATGATTTGGTCCTCAAAACTCTCCTTTTTAAAAGAAGAAAACAAACCTTAAGCATTGCTTATGTGGAATATATGCGGGGAAAGTTCTGCTTGTTCCAGGCAGTGTTGCTTTGGGGTCATAGAAATGGCAAAAAGAGAAGCAAGTGGCGTGTCCCGGCTTCATTGGATTCATTTGTCAACATGTTTAATAAAAGTGAAGGCACGAGTAAACCGACCTCATCTAAACAGAGCCCCGGAACAGCTGGCTCTGCCCTGAGCTCATGCACGGCCCGACTCCGGCGCTAAATGACGGACATCCTCTCTGACTCATTACCGGCCGAGCAGTCAGATGTTGGACGGGCGTCGGTGTGAATGATGGACGGAACAGATGTGCATTTCTGTAAAGGCACAGTCCAGTTTACTGCGAACGTTTCCAGTCGTTGCTTTTACCCCATGGCTCAGAATGTCTTTCTAACAGTTTTTTTTTTCTTTTTTTTCGATGCAGGCTAACATTTCCCTATACTTCTTTGATGCATTGTCTTTGGAAAAAGTTGGTAGCCTTTCGGTCCTTTTGAAAAAGTTTGAAGCTGTGTAACCATGCTGGTTCCTATTTGCCTGGTTAATTACAAATCAGGAGCAGATCATTCATAGAACTCTGCTGGATTTCTTTCTTTTGATGGCATGCACTACTTTCCTCCATCCATAGCACTTCCCGCCGATGTATTAACGAGAGGCCACATCAGTGGGGGAATGGCAGCATGATGGATCCAAAAAGCCATTTGTGGGTGTTGAGTCGAGTCTCTGGGGACTTTGGGATTCAGCGCTCGCAGGGACAGATCAGAGCCCGGATGGCTTTTGTGTGTTGATCATGTGTGCGTGTGTGGTTCCTGTAGAGAGGCGGTGAGCATGGAGATCATAAGGAACAACATGTTTCACCCCAGCACGTGTATCATGACGTGCCATACGCAGTCATCCTTGACACGCGATGGGGATTCTATAGAATGAAGAGATTATATTCCCTGACTGGAATGCGGTGTGTAACTTCCAGCTCAAACAGGTCATCTGCTGTGCACATGGCACCGCGCAGAGCTGCTTTGTCGTAGAAACTAACATTTAAAAAAATGAAACGGCAAGTCCCAGCTTTTAAACTAAACCGAGCACTTCTTTTGGCTCAGAGGATGGGAAGAGAACCAGAAGCAGATCGATTTTAGATTTATTTGGACCTGTACGACTGTTTACAACTACAACTGCTCAAATCAGGTAAAATAATCAGGGGTGTATCAGAAAAAGTTTGTGATTACATTTTTTTTCTTTAATTCAATTAATTAACTTATATCATCAGACTGTCTTTGAGCACTCGTTCCATTTCAGCCGAGTAAACTCACTTAACCTACTGGGTCTGCTCAGATAATTTATAATCTCGCAGAGATGTCATTTTTTTGGATCTTCACCCCAAGTTGTTTTTTATCCCCCTCAGTGTTTTGTCTATGCATCCCCCTCTGACTAGACTACACACCTTATTTTAGTCCTCTAATCAATCATTAAAAATATGTCTGATTCAAAAAGGATAAAAATTGGAAAGCTATTTTATCCTCAGTAAAACTTCCACCAAATGGATGTTTGTTTTTGTTTTTAAAAAGAAAGAAAGAAAGATTTATTTTATGGAATACATGAAAGCAGACAGGCTGGGGAGGTAAAAAGGCTTTGTGTTTTCCAGGAATGCCCGACCACATCACAGACACGCTGTCTACTCACGTATTCATCATCATTAGGTCAAGATGAGCCACATAGTGTTTCTGTGCGACTGTCTGCTCATTCGGACCGACAGAGTTGGAGTAAACCTAATCACTCCACCGACGTGGCTATTTTTGGCCTTTAATTGTATGTGTGCGCTGTGGTAGATCAGCAGAGCCTTTTCCAAAAAAAAAATTCAGTTTGGCACACAGTTGCAGACAACTCGTCTCCGTCCAAGGCTGCGAGCCCAGCACGGGTCCGGCCCTGACACACACAGATTACAGAGCGGATCTATCCGCCGCGCGAGCCAAAACGACCAGGGACTTGAACAAAAACAACCCCGCCGCCGGCCCAAAATTACACGCGAGAACCAGCGATCACCTCCATGTCAGACTTCACCTTATTTTAAGACGCGTCCGAATGCGCTCTGCATTTGGGAAGAGGATCATTTCCACCCACCAGCACACCCTCAGTCCGTTTACTGAGATTAGAAGATGGCTTGGTGGTGTTGTTAACCCGGGTGGGAAAGTGCCAGTTTAGACGGCACATGCAATTGCAAGTGAGTGCATGTTTGTGTGTTTACAAGGGAGAGTGAGCGGTGCCAGGCTGCCCACATCGTCTAACCAAGTCCAGGATGTAATGGACTGTGTCTTAGCTGAGCGACGCTAAGCACCATCTTGAGGTCGCGTGCACCGTCTCGTGGAGGTGCAGCAGCCAGCGCTGCCTCTGCCCGCTCGCCCGGGCATAAAGAGATTTACAGACCAACATAGACTAAAGGAATCTAAGCCTGCGCAAGCACTCAACACAGTCAGGCCCCTTCCAGTGTGTTGAAACACTTAAATCCCCGAGCCTCTCCCGCTTTAGCTGTAAATCCCCGTCTCTTTTACATCGAGAGGGATTCACACCGTGGTGGACGGATATTTTTACAGGCCCAGTTTCATTCCAAGCGACTAAATGTGGTGGAATCTGTGAAATATTGTAGGCGTACGTTGCAACCGACCTGTCTCTGTCTTGCTCTTGTAGTGTAACCAGGCATTTGGTCTGATGGATGAAGGTCTCGTGGCTCCTCTCGAGCTCCTCTATCCTCCGCAGAGCCTCATTGCGAGCACGGAACCCCTCCCCAATCTGCTCCGTCGGCTGTTTGTTGGAGCTCCCCTGGGCTTCTGCCGAACATCTGAGCTGGTGGACAACGAAAAACAAAACGAGGGCCCGTGAGGGTAGAAATGTTAGTGTGTATCGGATTGTTAATGGTCAGCTTTGGTTATGTGAGAAAAATAGTTATCTGATTAGATAGTAAGTTCATCTGATTGTCTATTATTATCATTAATGTATTAGGAGGTTGATTAGGAGGTTGGCGACCTTTCTAAATTAAACGCTTTTCTATTTCTGCTCCTGTCTCAATGCAATTGACAGTGATAAAATTCAATAAACTTGCTTTAAAATGATTGTCGGAAAAGCAACAACCTGTGCCTTAGATGTATACATTTTTTGTACGGACAGTATTCCAATAATCTGATAAAATGATCCACTGTTGGTACCTCGGCGGTCGATTTTTCGTGCACATCCTCCGGGCAGCCCCGCTGGGCCAGGACGGCGTCTCTCCGCAGGGCGCGGAGCACCGCCTCCTTTCCACCGACACCGTAGCGGGCTCCCAGCAGACGCAAATCTGTCCCTTCTGATCTCAGCATGGCTGCCACCTCATCTCTGGCCTGCTGAGACAAACAGCGCCGGGAAACCGCGGCTTAGGTTAAAGGGGAAAAAAACAACCCGGGCCCGCAAACGCCTTCTCATTTGCTGCATTGTTACACGACCTCACATCAACCGCCAGATGAAAGGGAGCGAATCCTCCTACCTGTAGTTCTCCCTCCAGAATGCTGAGCAGAAACAGCAGGTCATCACAGGACAAGTCTTCCCTCGAGGGTTTGCCCTTCCAGTCCTTACGCTCGCCTTTCATGTTTTGAGGAAGCGATCTCCAGGTTGATTTATAGGATTAAAAATGGCTCCAGTTTCTCTTAGTTTTGGTTTTTATATTTATATGTTTATATAGATATAATTTTCATATCCCATGTTGCTGTTACCAAGGTGAGGGTGTGTAAAGTCCACCTAGGAGAAGCAGGAGAATGAGAGCAGGGGAACATTATGAACAATTGGGTTTAAGCAATGGGTACTGTGTAGCTTTCATAAGCGGTGCAGATTGTATAAGGCTTCATGAGCTAATCCGAAGTCAGAAGGCCTCTTGTCATAACAGTTAGTGTTACTGAAACGGATAGGCCTGCGCCTGGCGTTGCTCCGCAAGAGGCTTATGTCATCTCATAGTTTTACTCTCAGCACATTTACAACAATCACTATTACTTTGGCCAAATGAATAGAATGACGGCTTCCAGCAAGTTCACCAGATTACAGACACCTTGTGTGTGTGTGTGTGTGTGACATGTGTCCTGCATGTGTATATGTGTGTAATTGAAGCAAATCTCATCAGCTAAATATTGTCTGCGTGCCAGTTTTTCTCCTGAGCTAATGTCCTCATCCCAGAAAGCAGGCAGGTTTGTATTAGCGAAAAATGATGTCATCTCCCCCGCTCTTGAGCTTTGCTCTTCTGGTCCCAGCTCCCTCAGTGGCCGATGAATCTTATTTCCTAGCTCTCGGTTTTGGGGGTAGATAACTCGAAGCCCTTGCATTGTGTTTTGTGTGAAGTAGATTGGGAATGGATCAAACCACAAAGACAGCTAAATGTCTCTTTCTCAAGTTTTCTGTATGGGGGGGGAAAGGAGTGACATTCCTCAAATCCACCCGTTCCCCTCAGTGTCCCCCGTGTATCAGTGGGGAATCAGAAACAATCCTCTTACTTCACTTGTTTTCAGCTATAGGAAACTCTAAAGGAGTTTCTTGTCGCTAACTAAAAAGTTAAGAATCATATTACTATGGTATTATCCTAGGGAAATACTGACCGATCAGTGGACTAAGGAGAAACCTATCACTCAATTTGAGATGGCTTACTACAGGGACGCTTTCAGGTCCTTTGATCCTTCGACTGGAGGGTTAATGTGTGGCTATTTTCTCCCTCTAGTTTCCAGCTGATCACACTTGTAATGAGGGCAGTTTCCTTGCCTTCTGGCCTCAGTGGACTTAGCGAAGCGGCCTGAAAACCTCTCACGTGCCACACAGACAGATGACATGCTCTCTCTTGAGTGTGCGCGGCGTCTGAGATTAGCACCTGCTTTCTGATGTTTAGGCACGCTCCCACGCAGTGAGAAAATGACTCGACACTTACGGTTTGGCTCAGAGCCAGAGCCCCCCCCCCCTCCCCACCCTACCCACCCACATCAGCTGGGAGGCAGGCAGGCTGGCAGCCCACCATGTCTGTTTATTTACCAGAAAAACACCCAGGACAACATGCCTGCATCCCTTCTGTCTGGCCCTCTCTGCTCCACAGTGCACCGGGTGTCTGCAAAATGTACACATCTACAATTTGTTCCCCTATGGTGCTCCTTTGGTCCCCAGCTTCCCACGTCTGGATTGGAATTCCGTTTCAGCTATTATGTTTGCTGGTGCCCTCACGTTCGTCATTCATGCATCATGACCCGAGTCGAACTTTAGAATTGTCTTTGAGGAATTCACCACACAACAGCAAACCCGTTCAGTCTTTTTTTTAACCTTTAACCTGCTAACTGTGGTCTGTGGAGTGTTTTGTTTCCTTTTTTGCTGCTGTTGTTATTTTCCCCAAAAATGACAGCTGTCTCGGCTGTTTTCCACATGTATAAAGAGTTAAATTGTTTAGGAAATGGTCTTATAGCCTTCCCCCGATTTTTCTGACAACACCCATTGCTTCTCTGAGGTGATTTGCTGATGTCTTTCCTCCTTTACACACACCTGGAAGCTGTCCAAATTTCTGAACTTGCAGAGTCGAAGACATGTGCTGAAAATGAGGTAATCGGGCTTGTTTGACCATGAGTTGTTTTACACGTGTTGTCGTTGACCTGAGGTTGTAAATCTTACATTCCAAGACCTGGCAAGCACAAGATGGTTTACTTTTCTTGCCCATTTGATCTAAAGGAGAAAAGTTATTATCTGAATCATTTGTAAGGCATTAATGATCCATGCGTCACATTGTTTACATGTTAATACCAGTCAACCGTCAGCCTCCAAGTTTCTCAGTAAGTTGAGCTTCATCGCATCTTAAACACTCACTATTTTAGCGTGCTTTCCAACTCGCTGTGTTGTCTAACATGCTTTGTATGGCTGAAACCTTGGTGGTCTTTCCTACATGACATCAGCGGTTTTACTAAATCAAACAGTGACCGCATTTATTTGAAGCAAATAACAACCAGTTGGTTCTGTGTGTGTGTGCAGTGTCCTGAAATGCGGTCCACATTGTTCTGTGGTGAGGTACACTGTGTCCTCGAGTACTCATTACCACTGGACAGGACTCTGCTGACCAGAATTTTGCCCCTTGAAAAATGGAAATGTGAAATTCTACAATTTAACGGCTCATTTGTGGACAGACACACACTTACTTAAATATATTTAGCCCCCGGGGACCAGAAATTGGATTACACACGTGTTGCATCACATGAATTGAAATGGAGATGTTTCTCCACCCTCTGCCCCTCCATCCCCACCCTCAGCTCAAATGCAGGTAGAAAAGAGTAGATATTAAAGATTAAAGATATTAAAGAAAGATGAAAAAAAACAGGCTGATTCTTACTGTTTGGTCTCTGTACTTCACCTTTATGTAACTGCTCTGTCGGAACCCGAAAGCCTCCAAACTGGCTGTGACGTCGAAATGTCCTTCCCAGGGATGAATTTCGGAAGCTCAGATTTTGCAGATCCTCAGCGGAGGAGTTTAAAAGCCGGTCCGTGCAGAGGGGGATGCCCATCTGCGCAAAATGAACTGTCTAAGAGACTATTTAAATTAAGCTTGATCCATAGTTTTGTTGCATAGTATGGAAGCATCCACGTCGTTTTCAGGCTCCAAAGCTCTGGCATGAACTTTGAGAACGGGTCAAATTAACCCGAGGGCAACAGGAGGTTTAAAGCTTAAAAGCTTTGGGTTATTTCCATAGCCCCATATCTCTGATTAGCGACATCTTTAGGAGCTCCTATCAGACACTGCCAGCTGGGAATTGGCTTAACTCAAACACGTGGAGGCTGGTGTTCCCTTCTAAAAGTGGATTTCAGCTTCACAAAATCGATCGGTGAATTGTGCGGAAACCACAGGCTGTGGCTAAGATAAGGTGATTCAGCATCCTTCTTTTGAAACATTAGAGGATAGGTTCAGGATCATCACATGAATCGGACGCAAGCCGTGGCTCTCTGAACACCATGCGTGTTGTAAGGTTTTCATCCCTTACCTTTGTCTTGTCTTCAAAGTGATAGGTGATAGTTATATTTTAAAGCTTATTTCTGCTTTATATACTTGCCAAAAGTTGAAGAACGGCTTGAAAGAAAAAGTAAAAAGTACAGAAGCTGTAACCTGAGATTTATGTTCTCAATCGACTATCTTTGGTCATCGCATCACATCCTGTTTTTTTTTGTTTTTTTTAGCATGTCGCCTTCAGTAACTATTGATTTAGCAGTGATTTACTGTGGCTTAAGAGAAGGAGCTGTATTTCTCCAAAACCCAATAAGCTCTCCCACCACAAACACTCTCAACATCCATCATCAGTCGGTTTGTCACGAGAGCTCTGCTGTTATATGACGCCTCATGTTTTCTGTGCAGGAAGAGGAAAGTCATAATTTATTCCACCCCCCCTATCCGACTCATCTCACTCAGACATGTAGAAACATCGCAGGGCTGCTGGGGGCTCATGACGACGCTTTATACGTGTAGTTGTATCAGTAAAGTGCCACATCACTCAAGTAAGCACATCACCCTTAAACAACAATGACCAAATGTGGGCGCCATTAGTCTGGAACAGAAACAATCAGTTGTTTCCTGGAAAAGGTCGATTGATCCTCATTACGTCCAGTCAGCACCATTGACCATCCATTAAAACCAGTCAGTTCATTGACTGGGCATTAAGGATTACTGGGCTGCCCTATCTCCCCGTATGGGATTTTTCTCCACAGCCATTGACTTTCATCGATCTATGGTTATCTGAGCCCTACACTTGCTGCCCTTCAGGCGTCTGAGAGCATACATTTCCTCTCCCAGACTGCACCATCTGTGCCAAAGGGATAGTGAGTGGACTTGCAATACCCTGGACTTTTGTTTTCCCCCTTGTGTTAAATTCTGTTTCTCTGATGTACTAGATGTTACAGCTTTAAGTCATTTAACTGGATGAAAGTCATCATATGTTGTAAACGTAACTTAACGTTAGCTCTATGCTTTTTTTTTTTTACACTTTTAAGGACAACTAAGCACAGAAATACATTATCAGAAACTTTGGATTTAGCTTCCTATTTCAACTATAATTTTCCATTTGTTTAGAGGCATCTTTGGAAAAAAATTACACAGATTTGACCAATGTAGCAAACTATTTTTGCACCAATAAACTGATTTTAAAACGCTATCGGCTGAAACACTGCCCACCTCGGCAATCTGCAATCCTTAAATGAAATGTCAGACAAATGGAGTACCAAATAAGTAGTGGCAGGTCTAAAAGGAAGAAAAACATACACTCTACTGCAAATGAACACAGTCTGAAAGCGATATCCTGAAGAAATGTGCTAAAAAAAAAAAAAATTCTAACAAAGACCTGATGCAGGACCTGAGAGACTGACCTTGTGCTCATTGAGCTGCGCCCACCAATCACAGCCCACTTATGGGGTTAAATATTATATTCATCCAATACCATTGGGGAATAACGTGACACCTTACTTGCAAAAGCGCTGACCCACATCCTGAGAGAATGTGCACTTAAATTGTATACAGAACACGGAGACGCTGATTAACTCTTCCCCCATTTGTTAAATTAAGCGAGAATGAAGGGTGAGGCGACCTCTGGCTGGCGGAGCGGTGGGACCCGCCGCCGCTTCAGGCGGCCGTGTCACATCTTAAATTAGAAGCCTGTTCGGCCCCCTTGCATCGTCAGCACCTTTTGCACGTTTAAACATTTGGTTAGCCTCTGCGCCCGCGGGCCACTTTCAGAGCGCGCCGTGGCTCATTGAGCACCGGACGGCAGCGTCAGGCCCAGGGGTCAGACACCTCACCTTGCTGTTTATGACCAGTTATAGCCATGCAATAATAGCGAAGAGATTTGGTCGTGAAACCGAGTGCTACCTCTTTGCCTTTTGACAGCAGATGCATTTTCCAAGTAGCAACAGCAGACAAAAAAAGTCTTACCTGTATTTAGGCCAGCGTGTGACTCTCTTCTCATTCATAAACCTGAGTTGTCTGATCGAGGGGGCCATTAACATCCATCACCGTGTCATAAAGTCCACCTCGATTATTCCATCGACTTAGCCCTCGCCCCGTCCTCTCGCAGCTCTGGCATACTTCCCTGCAGCTGTCCGGAGATCGAGGGAGCGAGGAGGCGTTGAGAATGGCCGGCCGGGCCCATCAGAGGCAGGGGGTGTCCTGTTAGGGGACTCATCATGAATGACCTGCAAGAGTCATTCATGATGAGTCTCAGTGGGGCGGGGTTTAGCGAAGAAAAGACAGCCACCCACATGACACGGCCGTACTCAATGCTCCTCATCCATCTTTTGCACAGTCTTTAAACGGCCATCAAAGGGAAGCACTTAAGAGGGAGCTTGTGCGTGCGCTATAACCAGCACGGCAGAATCGATTCACAGATGGTTAATTAGAGGACAAGGCATAAAAATTTACATCGGATGTAGTGTGTGTGTGTATGTGTGCGTGTGTGTGATACAGAGCGCTCTTGGCCCCCGGATCAGCATCATGTCAGCAGATCAGAGGGGCTCTGGTTCCTCTCAGCCTCATCACAGGAGCGCAGCGGCAGCCAGCTGCACGAGGGATTAAAAGAGCAACACGGATCAGAACTTAGACGCAAAAGTGTTTGAGATCTGCGACGGGCACCTTGGGGGGGGGGGGGGGGGGGGGGGGGGGTCGGATGACAGAAACAATTAGGAGGCGTTATACCAAACTGTGCACCTACCTACAGCAGGGCGTTCTGGAAACAAACGGCGGGCGTTGAAGAATCCCGACGGGCCTAAAGGGGTTCTGTGCGTAACCCCACTGTGCAGAACAGGAGGGGGACGCATCAGGAAGTGCTGGCAACAAGGGGGCTCAGTATAAACGCGTCCCTGCCGCATTGCCTCTCAAACAGCCCGAACAGCCGGGGACATGTTAGGCTAATTTCTGCTTCAAATGAACCCACAAGACAGACGAAACAATTTCCCCACCTAACCAGCCCGTTCCTCACTTGCTTTTTGTGATCTTAACGAGGAAAACACCCCGTTTGTCTTCGCACAGGCGCATCGGAGGCCGAAGAGGAGGCGGAGCCAGACGACCGGCCGGCTGCTCTGACGAATCAAAAGCCAGAGAAGAGGAAGCGCGACGCAGAGAAAGTGACCAAGGCAAAGAAAAAGAGAAGTGACAAGCAGGTTGGAGAAAAAGCTGCCCGATCGGTGTTTTTACTGTGATGTCATGCAAGAAATCTGTGAGGGCGTTAATGTGCAACTGTAAAACAAACTTCAGCCCATTGTTCATTGAAAACAGGCGCAGACACTACAGGCAGCTTCCTCTATCACTGGTAGAATTTTATATTTCTATATGGGCATATTTTTGTATCTCATCTGCTATTAAACTGTTATTATGAGTGGAAAAACAACATTTTCATGCTGCCGGGATCACAAATTTGCCGCTATTCTGTCTCATTAATTGGTGCTCAGTGCTTTTTTTTTTAAATCAGGAAAACTGAAACTAACAACCAGTAAATGATTTTTTTTTTCAAAATTCAAGTAAAAGAACTTCTTGCTGCGTTGAGCTTTTTCCAAGTTGAGATTTCCATCTTTACTAGAAACTTTTGAACTGCAACACTATGCTCTGGAAAATGGATTTTTCTGGGGGGGGGTTTTCTTCAAAACACGGTTTCTGTATATTGTTTTTAAACCTTTCATTGCCCATTCTGTTTGATAGTTGTGAATTGTTTAAAATCTTCTTAAGCAATCAGAGAGAATTACAAACGCTGGTGTGGTTTATTATCGATCTGCATGTCTGTATCACATTTTGCCCTCCTGTCCTGATTTCACAGAAGGAGATTATAGAGAGTGGAACCTCTCAAAGGAAAGAGACAGAGGGCGGAGAGACGGCTAAACCCAAGAAGAAGAGAAAGGTGATTGTAACAACAACTATGACATAAAAAAAAAAAAGATGAAACGGGTTGAAATGGGAAGTGAAACGTTTCAGTGGGACTTGTGAATAGAAAAAACAACAACTAAACAAACTCATTTTATTGAGTGAGTCTTGGCTTGGAGGTCTGGTTACGTATGATAATAGTTTCAAAAGAATACGCAAGAGGCATGCACAGAATAGTGGATGGCGCACATGATTGCGCACGGTGTGGGATTCAGGCTGCAGAGTGAAGAAAGGCCGAGCAGTTTGTGATAGTAAATGTTGTTTTCCAGAAGAAGAAGAAAACGATTACAGATGTGCTGGCCACCTCCGAGCCAAAAGCAGGCGGTCCGGCCGACCTCCAGGGCCTGGTCCTGCAGCACTTCTCAGACAAGTGCTCCGTTATAGAGCTGGAGGAGCGGGAGTTGCCCAGTGAGTTGCAATGAAATTAGAGCCCCTTAAGGTCAGTCTGTATCCGCCTCGTCCAGTGACTCAAACAGGTCTCACATCTTCCAGGTTCCAGTTTCCTGTCCAGTAACGACTTGACCCACAGCCTGTCGTCTTATCTGAAGCAGGGTAAGCGATGGTGGGCCTGTCTTTTGTAGGAAAACGTCTGGATGAAACGGGCCTGACGTGGGCTGCTGCTTTGTGCTCTCCTCCCTCAGTTTGTCCAAAGTGGGCAAAGATCCAAAAGCAGCACAAAGAGACGAGTTCAGCGGTGGTTCTGATCGTCTGCAGCTCCGCGCTCCGAACCATCGAGCTCATGAAGTGAGTTACCACCCGAAGGCCTTTGCTTTGTCTTTGTTTTGTTTTGAACCTAGAACCATAAGCGCTCATTGTCCATTCGCAGGCAGCTGACCGCTTTCAAAGGCGAAGCCAAAGCTGTGAAACTTTTCGCAAAGCACATCAAGGTTAGTGGCTGTCCCGGTTAGCCGGGCTTTGGGGCACCGCCCGGTCCTGACCCCAACCTGTGGACGCCTTTCCCCCGCACAGATCGAGGAGCAGGAGAAGCTGCTGCAGAAGGGCGTCACGCACATTGGCGTGGGGACGCCGGGCAGGATCGGCGCCCTCATCCAGAAAGGTGCCAGGACGCAGCGCTCTCACCGGCCGGCTTCAAAGCTTTTTTTATTTTATTTTTTCAAAGGTTCTCACTCCGACTTTGTTCCCCAGAGGCTTTGAACCTGCGGGCTTTGAGGTACCTGGTTCTGGACTGGAACTGGAGGGACCAGAAGCTCAGAAGGATGGTGGACATTCCCGAGGTGAGCTACTGCCACCTGCTGGCCCAAAAAGGGAAGGACAAGTGTCTTTTTTTTTACACCTAGGAGCCGTTTGGGGGGAAATTTTGAATTTAATTTATTCAATTTGAACCTGTGGACTGTGGAATGTCTTTATCTAATATCCTCAGCAAATGATTATCTCCTCAGATTTTGGTTGTTGGAACAGAAAATCACAAATTCTATATACAACACTAAGTCCTGACTTTGAGGATTTTCTTTAAATAAAAAACATGCTTTCCATGTGGATCCTGAATGTTTGATTTGTTTTCCTGACAACTGACCAGTGGGTTTGATATCTTGCCGGCTTGTTTTCCCTCCAGATCAAACTTGACTTCATGAAGCTGCTGGACAGCGGAATCCTGACGGCTTGCAAAGAAGAGAGAGTCAAAATAGGACTGTTTTAACCGCTTAAACAGTGGGGATCCGCTACCCCGATCATCCACATGAGGACTTATTGTTTTACCAGGACACTCTGACCCTCCTCAGAACATCTAGAGGGGCCTCATCCTGTTTTCTTCCCCTTTGTACCAGCATGAATCCCCCCCTTTTATATTTTCAGACTGTGTGAAATGCGTGGTAAGCGAACTTGGTGTTGCAGCGTGATGGATTGAATAAACCGACCCAGTGCGAAACCCACATCCCTTTTGTTTGTTTACTCTGACTTTCCCCAGCCCCTCCTCCTGACTACGTGAGGTCACGAGTGTATACTTCCTCACCAGGAAGTTGCATCCTTTAGATAAAGCTTTGCGATGCAACACAGGGAGTCCAAACCCGACGGTTCTCGCTCCTTTTTGACTTACAGCACCACTCCAATGTGGTGAAACCTTATTAAAAAAAAACAACGCAGATTAGTGAAACTCTTCTGTTCAGGAAGGAAGCGGAAAAGAAGCACTAAAGAAAATCTTGGTGACAAACTGGAGGAGTTGAGCAAAGGTTCGTGGTTAATAAGTAACAGGCCGCAACGCCCTCACCCCACCCTGCAAAGCCTGCTGGGAAAATCTCCCGGCAAGCAGGGGTGGTGTTTGTGTTCGTGTGTGTGTAAAAGGAGATATCGCTGATAAAGAAAAACCAGGAACACAAGCTTGAGCAGCGCTTTCGCTTTTTTAAGAATTTATTTTTATTTTAATCGCTCTCCAACCGTCTACCAGGTTTCTTCCTGACTCCGTCCGATGGGTAAAGAGAAGCTGAAGCCGGGGCCGCTGGCCCGGAGGCCGGACAACTCGGCCTTCAAACAGCAGCGCCTGCCGGCCTGGTCTCCCATGCTAACCGCTAACACCGTGCTGCCTTTCTTCTACATCATGTCCTCCGTGTGCCTGCTGCTGGGCGTCTGGCTGCTCCTCACTGTGCAAAGCACCCACGAGCTGAAGGTGAGCCCCCCCCTCCCCCTCCTCAAATCTCAATGTGTAGAAATGTCCAAACCAACGAGGGCGTGCGGAACTGCTCTCACGTCCTTATGTGCAATAAAAATGAAAGGAGGGGGGAAAACAAAAGATTCCACGGTTAGGTGCGAATAAAGGTTTGTTCTGACTCTTGTTTTCAGCTGGACTACACAGAGATGGGGGACTGCGCCCGGTGCTTTGAAATGCGCAAAAACGTGAGCAGCGCGGCGCAGGACTGCACCTGTACGGTGGGGTTCTCCATTGAGAAAGCATTCAAGGTAACCCGCCTTTAACCACCTGTCCACCTTCCCAAGCTTTTCACATTCCTCGCCGCGCTGAAAGATGCCGCTTCCGTCTCCAGGGAGACGTCTTTTTCTACTACGGCCTGAGAAACTTTCACCAGAACCTGCGCAGGTACATGGACTCCAGAGATGACGGACAGATGGTCGGCAGGAAAAGGAGGTTAAAGGTACCTGCTTGTGATTTCATGAATCCCCCCACACACACATACACACACCAACCTCCGTGTGTGGAGGTCTTATAGGATACAGGCCCAAACGGTCTTATCTCGGTGTGCGTTTGACCAGTGCCGGGGGGGTTCTCCAATCACTTCACATATCAAACCTGCAATCTAAATTGCAGTCGTGTAAAAGTGGCACACGTGTTGTGTCGAGTCATATATATGGAGTCATGGAGTATGAAAAGACCCAGCAGAACAGTTTTTTCACTGTTAAACAATTAAATCATTAGAATTTGTTTTTGTTTTTTAGTTTTAGACCAAATGCATGCAAGTCATTATTTCTTAATTAGTGGATTATAAAGCTTTAACATTCTGGGTGTTGTTTACATCAGTTGCGCAAAGACTTAAAGCTGTTTTTTTTACAATGGAAATGAGGAAAAAAAGGACAAGGTGAGGGATTTATTTGGAATTTACAGTCCTCAATCACTTGATGTCTGTAATCAAAGAAAATAACAAAAAAACAGTTTAAAATTTTCCAGATTCCGAAAGGTCATCTTGTTTTGTTTTTGGTTTTTTTGTTTTGTTTTTAAGTTGATTGGGTTTGTTTTTTTTCAAACTTTGATTAAAAGCTGCTGACCTCTCAGAGTGGATTGTAGAAGTTCCTCAACAAAAAACAAGCCTCCGTTAGCCTCCCCCTTTTTTTTTTTTTTTTTTGAAGGTTGGATAAGGGGCTGCGCTTACGTCGGTGGCACGCCATTTGGAGAAATTCACCTAAAGCCAAAGATAGTCCACTCAGAGCACTCTTTTTCTTTTTCTGTTGTTTCTTCTGACAGAACCCCACCTCGTATTGTAAGCCGTTTGACAGAGATGTGAATGGAGTCCCCATCGTTCCCTGTGGGGCCATTGCCAACAGTATCTTCAACGGTAGGAGCTCCTCACAGTTCACCGCCCCCTTTCCCTCATCAGGACGTTAACTCGTACGTTTCTCCCAGACTCCTTCACCCTGACGTACCTTAGTCCCAGCGGTCCTGTTGACGTTTCCCTCATACGGAAGGGCCTCACGTGGTACACAGACAAAAACATCAAATACCGCAACCCAAAGACGGACAACCTGTCCCTGGCCGAGGAGTTTGAAGGTAAAAGGGGGGGCCGTCGCCTCATTCGCTAAACGTTCGTCTTAGGATGTCCCACTGACCCCCTGTTCGGGGTCCCGGTCAACGACTCTCTCTCCAACAGGTACCACGCGACCTCCCTACTGGCAGAAGCTGGTGTACCAGCTGGACCCCGCTGACCCCACCAACAACGGCTTCGTCAATGACGATCTGATCGTCTGGATGAGGGAGGCCGCGTTCCCCAACTTCAAGAAGCTCTACGGGTTTTTACAAAGAGCCGAAAAGCCTTTTACAAACGGGCTTCCGAAAGGAAACTACACCATCCAGATATCCTACAGTATCCTTTCACCGCTCCCGTTTAGTTATTTAAGTGGCGCGTTTGGGGTCTATTGTACGCCATCTTGTCTTTGAGCGCACAAATATGCAAAAGGAGTCTTTTAGTAATCCACAAGATGAGCATTTTTAATTGAGCCTATATTTGTAATTTTGTCTTTTTAAGCCTTGACCTCCTGCCCCCTCCAGACTTTCCTGTGCAGCCCTTCCAGGGCAGAAAGGAAGTGGTGCTGACCACGCTGACCTGGTTCGGAGGTCAGAACCATTTCCTGCCCATTGCTTACTTGGTAACCAGCAGCCTGATCCTAGTGACGTCCGTCGTCCTGACAGTGGTTTGGTGGAAGTTTGGAAAGGGTGGGAAGAACATGGAGGAATAAACCGGAGGGGGGGGGGGCTGACCGCGGAGAGTTTGGAGACAACAAATCCAAGGTGACAAGTACACTGATTGAGTAGAATGGCTTAAAAAGAATGTTGATTTAGGATGATTTTAACATCCAGTGGAGAGACTCTGACATCTGGAATCGCCTGGATAATTAGATAGTCATTTATTGAAGTAAATTAAAACAGGAGGATGAGCAACATGTAACATCTTTCTCCCACTTTCTGGCAATTTCTTCACTTTTTTTATTTCCAACTTTGATTATGGAGTTCTATCGTATTTTTCTGTCTGATAACATCAGACTAAGCAATTTTGGGAATCATTTCAAATCCGTAGTTTCCTGACACAGTATGGGGATTCTCTTTTCTCCGACCAATTTTCCACCATTTCATGAAGTTTTACGATGTCAAAAAGGATGCATAGGAACAGGCTACGTGATGCGATTTTTTTTTTTAGTTCAGGTTATTTGACCTGATACTAGATAAAAAAGAAACACTGCTCTTAAGTGGAAGTAATAAGCCTGGAAACTGGTAGATCGTTTTTTTATATTTCCATCTTTGTTGAAGGCGTTTTAGCCGACTAATGTAAAAACATACACACCCTGCACTGTATTGTACCGATTGAGAATCTTCAATTCCCCTTTATAAGCAAAATGATTTAAACTATGCGTTTAATTCATGAATTAAATGTTTTCTTTTGTCCGTGTGATAATTTTGTTTAAGTGACTTAAAAAAAAACTTTAACACAATCCAACTTTGCAGATTCATCTGTAAAAAAGAAAGAAAAAAAATGATCAAACAATGAAATAAAACTGGTTGTTTTTTTTTTTAGAAAAAAAAAGGATCTTTATTTGTCTTTGTACAATCAGCAAGACCCACAAACTCACACCCACGAAGTATCCAAACTCTAATCAGTCTCCTTGGTTACCGAACATCCGACAGTGGCGCAGCTGTTGAAAAAAACGCGTCCAGCTGCTCCCTAAAAGCAGCCGCGTGTGCGTTTGCCCGCCATCTGCTCTCCTGCCACCCAGCGTTTGGTGGGATCAGTACCGCGGGTGAGCCGGAGACAAACGCAGCTCCAACGGGAACCCGCGAGGTAAGACAGTCCCAAACACACAAGACTGAAATACTGAAACAGCTCGACGCACGTACAGACGTTTATGCACACAAACGGACATGGAACAGACTCGACAAGACAACCATTACGATCACAGCTGTAACATTTACTCATTTACCACGTTGTACCTTTCGTGTAAGAATCATTTAAAAACTGCTTTGAATTAAGACTGATTTAGTATTTATGTGGCTTAAAAAAAAAAAACGATTAAAGCAGGGATCTGCCATGAATCGACAGAACCTTTGGTCTCTAAAACTTTAAAGTATTTCTCTTTCTGGACCATTCACTGGATTGACTGTCGCGGCTTAAAACATAAAATGTGTTTCAAAAACGTTTTAACAGTGCACACCCCCCTTTTTGTGGATCCGTTAACAGAGAGAGGGGGGGAGGTGGGGTCGCTCCTCGATCAGCAGGATGTGAAATAAAAATAAATATCAGTAAATCATTGGAGTTTTTCTAGATTGCAGAAGTGAAATTCCTAGAACTACACAAATCATTTCAAGTCATGCTTTTTAAACCTCCTAAGACGACAACGTACCATGGCAAGCGTTTCTTAAACAAGGAACCTTTTCTCGTTTTTTCTTGTTTTTTTTAACGTTCGTCACCTAATGCAAACATGCAGTGACTCTGTAAGAAAACCCCCTTTGGTTTTTGGTTTGGAAACGGTCTGGTATGGTTCAGAATGTAACAAAAAAAACGACAATCACAGTTTCACAGGAAGTAAGACCTACAGATCACAGACCAGGAACAAATAGTAGTCAGCTCTCACACCTGGCACCAACACATTCATCTTTATGCTTTCAGTGATAGGACTGTAACGGGATTGCAAGAGCGGTTTGGTGGCCTTTTTTTTTGCCGAAACGTTCGGGGCGACGCGGACGTCTCCGGACGAATCTAAAGCTGAGGCAGAGTTCGTTCAAGACTTCACGCCTCGCCCCACAACCCTCCATGTCTCTGTCCTCCGGGCTGTGCTGGCAGTGAGGGGCAGATTAAAGCCATGTGCATCCGGACTCCTCAGCTCTCTCCTGTTTGCATCTGAGTGCTACGGTGAGGTACCTGATAGGTCAGGTCCTGTGTGGGCGTGGCCTGTCCAGTGGCGTTCTTGGGCGTGTCGTACGCCAGCCTCCCCGGGCGGCCGTTGTCGCTTGACCCGGCGCTCAGAAAACCGCAGGCGGCGGCGGGCTGGCTCAGGGCGGCGGGGTGGCAGCCCATGTCCACCACGATGGGGGTGGCGTACTCCGACCCCGAGGACGGCAGCGGCTCGGCGTAGGCGTGGTACACGTCCGGCGAGATGGGGGCGTCGTAGCCCGGGCTCGGCCCCTCGTCCGGTTTGAAGGTGGACCTCGCGCCCAACGTGGTCATGCCGCTCACCAGGGGCTCGGCGTACTCTGGACAGACACGGCGAGAGAGAGAACCGGTCAGTGTGTGTGCTTTCCCTGGACTCTACCTGCTGACCCATCCCTAACTCTAACCCCCCCAGCCCTCGTTCAGCGCTTCGACGGGGTGGCTGGCTATTGTTGGCCTTTTGTTGGGTCTGTGGTCATAGCCTAAGCCAATATTTGTCACATTTCTGGGAGGTGAGGCGACAGCTGACTGGTTTTAAACTTAAGGCTTGGATGCACCCTCGAGAGGTGATCGCAGTATTCTTCAACCTAAAAAGATTTGAACGCGGTCCCGCTGGGGGATCCTCTAGGTGCGGCTGTTTCCCGGCAACGCAAACTGCTGCGTTTCATCTCTGTTTGGGCCTTGAGCTGCGTGGCTCGTTTTCCAGATTAAGACACTGGGTGCTGCACAGCAAAAGTACGCCGAGGAGGACTTTTTCACTAATTTGTCTTTGATTGGTCTCGTGCTGTTCAAAGGTTAATGAAAAAAATTTGAAAAGATTGAGACTGCATTGCTATTGTACCTAAATTCTGCATCATGACCACCAGGGGGCGTCTCCTGGGGTAAGAAGGTGCACCCGACTTTGTAGAAGAAGCCAATGATTTCATTCGATTTATGACTTTGGTAAAATACTACTTTGTTTTATAATCTTAAATTGATAGTTTTGTGAATCTTTCTCCCTAAGTCAATGCTTTTAAATCCATTTCATGACCTACAGATCTACAGTTTGCGCTTCAGGACGGATGACAGAGTCTCCTGTTGTGTCTCGGTGTCTAAAATACAGCTAAAGACGTCATCTGTAGGATGAGTTTCCTTAGAGGGACACGGTTGTTTAAAGACCTTTTCAGAGTTTTTGAATCTCCGAGAGCCTTTGTGACAGACGACCTTACCTGGAGTCCCGGGGGTTTACTGACTGACCTGTGGTCAGGGCTCTGATAAGCGGCTGGCCGGAGGGCCTGCTCTGGGCTGTGGTTGTCCTACCTGCGGGCTGGGTGTGCAGGCTGGGCACGGCGCCTCTCCCCGCCAGGCGTCCCACCTCGCTGCGGCTGTACCTGACCGGGTCCTCCGCCTCCACCATCTTGGAGGGCAGCAGCTGCTTCATGCTCTTCCACCAGTCTGCGGCGGGGGGGCAGAGGGAGCCCTGAGACGGGAGGCTCGCGGCCCGCATGGGGGCGGAGCGCTTCGGGGGGGGGGACATACCGGTGCGGTCCCAGTGAGGGAGGTCGTACGCCCCCTCCGAGCTCTTCTTCCTGTGGGAGGAAAACCCAGCCGTCAGAGTCGAATTTTTAACAAAAGCAATGTGTTTGACAAGTCCTTCCATAAGGTAAGGGAAGGGGGGGGGGCGTACTTGTTCCTACAGTGCCAGGCACAAATGGCGGTGAGGATCAGAGCTGTGGGAACCATGATCAGCACGGGCACCAGAACTGCTGCCAGCTTCACCCCTGAAAGCAGACACGGAGATTAGGCCTGTAGGCCGCCGATATTTGCAAAAAAATGCGTATCGGCCGGCAGGAGAAAATGCCGGTCCAGACTCCCGATCCAGTTTTTATTTTAAGTCCGATCCCAGCATTAGCAATTCCTAACCCACAGGTCTGTGTCCTGACCATTACGTTGTTACAAGAGTGAATCCCTGTTCAACATGAGTCTGACAACTAATTAAGTAGGCTAAATAACTTTAATACATGCTCTGATGGGCCGGGATCGGAAGTGAAAAAAACTGGATCGGGACATCCCTAATTGAGATCATCTCTATTCCCAATCCAGCCGAACTCTCTGCGCTGTACCTTGGTCGCTGTGGGGGGGCATGGTGGTGTTCCGGATGTCTGGGGGGTGCGTGGTCTGGCTGAGGTGGGGTGGGGGCCTGGTGCCGGCGGGGCGCGGGGACTGCTGGACCATGGTGGTCCTCGGCCCCAGCCCCGTCCTGCGTTTGACTGCCCCCCAAAGACAAAACGAATACATTTGTTTTTTTTTTTTTTTAAAAGGCTCTGATCCGAGGAACTCCAAAGACTCTAAACTACCGGTTACCCGGAGCGTCTACCTGCTGGCAGCTGGCAGCCGAGCAGCTCCAGCTTCAGGGACATTCTCTGGTGCCAGGAGAGGGGATTGATCCGCACCAGCCGGGCCTCGATCGGAGGAATGAAGTTGTTCCTCACCTCATCCAAGTAGTTGGTGTTACCTTGGAAAACCTACCAGAAAAAGGGGGGACCACTCATTTAATTTTTAACCCAACTGAAAGCGGGCAGTTTAAGGCGGGAGGGGGACGTTCTATGTGTAATGCAGGTTATATGATAAGCTGACTATTCCACTATTAGCCTTTAAGGGGTTCAAGAAATACTGGAGCACACAACGGTCAGACCACAGTTTACACCTTTATTTTAAAGAAGAGATTATTTTTATGAGAGTTAAATAAATTTGACAAATTTGAGGAAATGGCTGTTCTTGAACTGAACTCTCCTCTATACAACTAAAGGCTAACCAGAGGGCTGCTGTTTAATGCAACAATTAAAACTATATTCCCATGAAGATTTTTTTTTCAGCGGCTGATTTGAAGAAGCTGCAGCGAGCAGCGTCTGTCCTCCGCTAAAGCAGAGCGAGTAAGGGAGCAGCTCAGTCCATCGATCCGCCTCCGTTCATCACCAAAGCCCCAGAGCCTACCGCAGCACTTAACTCAAACCATAGACGGCCCCTGCTTCCTGCCATAAACATCCATTAGTCAATACCGGTTGCTGTGGAAACGATCCATCTGACTGTCCCTCCAGCCTTCTAAAGTGACATTTTTATCCATTTGCAGTCGTTTAAAAGGGGGAATGGGGGGGGGGTAATTGGTTTGGAGGTTGCTTTACCTTGTCTTGGGTGGAGTTTGCCTCCCTGTAGACGTGCCACCGCCTGCCGTCGGTGCTGTGCAGAACGCGGTAGGCGGAGACGTAGTACTGGTAATCCCACAGGGTAGAGCCTGTGGTGATGATGCCTGGGCGGACGCGGGAGAGGAAACGCTTACACGGCAGCACCTCACTGACCCGTAGGCTTAAAGAAAACTACGGCTGGAAACGCAGAGTCGAGCCTGAATTCCTGTTCGAGGAAAAGTCTTTACCGACAGCTCTGATGCGAGCCGTCCCTTTATTTAACGCACTCTGACTCTGAGAAGCAGGCATCTCTGTGCCTTCTTTTTGTTCCCCAGAAGGTTTTCGAATTCTTTTCTCAAAATTCTAGTTTCAAATTTAAAAAAAGAAAGCAGCTCAGCAAGAGAAAAATGGTGTATATGAACACCATAAAAAAAAGTTTAAACAATAACTAAATATATACAATAAACTGTAAAGATAAGTGCCTAGACAGTGTATCAGTTTCACTCAGTCTGGCTTTAAAAAATTGTCAAATTTGGTACAAAAAATTTAAATGTAAACATTGTTTGAATTACTATATTTAAAGGTTAAAAGCTTGGCCAATTAACTTGTTAGCACTCAACACAAAATGCCTCCAAACATTGTTAGTTTGGCTGGTGTCTTGTCTTGAAATTGAACGTGCTATAGTTTTAGCCTAAACCAAGAGGTCATGTGACTACTAACGGTACCTGTGATCCTCTTCTCCTTCTTGAGGTCCACCTGCAGCCACTGGTGCAGGTCGCTCTGCGAGGCCGCCCAGGGACGCCCGGCCTGTTTGAGCCGGGCCCCCGCCGCCCCCCACGCGCCGCCCCAGTCCCAGGCGGAGGAGGCGCTGAGCTGAGTGTCGGCCACGCCGCCGGACTCCAGGCCCAGCGTCCCGTAGCAGCCTGCGGGTTCAGACGGGCTCGCTTTAGCTTCACCTGCTAGCGAATCATTCTCAGTGTACGTATGAAGAACAAAGAGGTTCACCGTTTGTCTTGAAAGTGAAGAGGCTGTTTGACAAAGTTCCTCTGAGGATAGAAAAAAAAAAAATGGATGTCAGAACTAAAATTCTCTCTTTTTTTTTTTTTATATCTTGTGCTGACTCAGCTGAATGCCTCACCCAGTGGAAGTGACATTGTTGGCCAGTGTGCCGTCGTAGTGGTGGATGCCTTTGCTGCTGACCACGCTGATCCTGCCCCCCGCGGCGTTGGACACCACGCCTGCGTGGACGGCGGCCACACACAGAGGAGAGGACTGCGGGGGAGAAGACGGAAAAGGAGACGGCGTGGTCAGACCGCGGTGAGGGGAACCGGGTGCGACGGGGACTTCGGTTCTGGGCTTTCCGGGGGGTTGGTATGCACGCTGACTGGACAGAATGAGCTTGTCCAAACACTTTATCCACACACCACGTTTGTTCCATCTAAGCTATACAACCATTTTGAGGGGTTTCACAACATTCTTCCCTCCTGAGATATTTTCTGCAGGATAAAACTGACAAAACAGAAAATGCCACTTTTTAAGCTATCACTAGGTCAACAGGTACATTTTAGGACAATAGGAGTGATCCAAAATCAACCCCCTCTAACCCTGTGATGAGCACATGGGGAACAATGTCTGCTGTGGTGGAGATACTTGGCACAGGAAGAGCTCTGCTCCAAAAAGCATTATCAGTAGGAGTTCCTGTGATGGGGGGGCAGCCAGTCAGGAGTCAGTCTTTATCAGAAGAATAAATAAAAAAGGTGCGACCAACGCCGCGTCGAATTCAGTTCTGTTTTACCGTCTGAGCTTTTGAAACCTTCAGACGCCGGCAGATAAAAAGCCGGTGAGTCAGGATGCCGTCAGCTCTGCCGCTCGGAGAAAAAAAAAAAAACGGGAGATGGGAACGGATGGGAAAGACCCCCGGCCGGCCCCCCCCCCTCCCAAACCCCCCCAAACCCCCCCAAAAAACCTCCCCCCCCCCCCCCCCCCCCCCACCCACCAACCCCACCCCCCCGCCAGTCTGACGGCTAGCTCCAAAGGGCAACTGGCCCAGAGATGTGAAGCCGTTTCACCGAGAAGAAAGACAGGGAAAAAATAAAAATAAAAAAAAACTGGAAATCACAGCTGAAAAAACCTGTGGGAAAACTGGTGATCCCCCTACGGGAATGACCATGTATTCGGGCAAGTGCTTACAGAGCAGTAAAGGGGGGGGGGGGGGGGGGGGGGTCCCCCACATGCGGTCCATGCTCTCTCTGTGACTCTTGAAATTTCCCAAAAAACACACACCACATCCTGAGGAGAGCCATGGAGAACCACTAACCCGGAGTGCTGCTCCAGACCACAGCACCCTGCCTCCAAGGGAGGAAACCACACACACACACACACACACACACACACACACACATACATACACACACGCATGATAACAACAGATGTGGGTGATATAAAAGATATGATATAAAGTAAAATGCACTGAGGTGCTATTAGAGTTATTGTCATATAAATTAAAAAACCAGGATGAGGACGGCGGCCTGGTTGGTGGTAGTGGTGGTGGGGGGGGGCGGGTAAAGGTTGAATCACGCATCCGGAATCTCCCCCGCGGAGGCGACCGCACGCTTTCCAAAAACAAGCGCGCAAACGCAGAGGCTTTCTCCGGCTTCTCAATCGCACTGAGTCACTTTTCGGCTCTCTCCCCCGGCCCGAAAAAAAAAAATTTTAAAAAAACTCACAGCTCGACTCACCCTCTCACAGCTGGACTGGATTACGGGGGTTATTATATTCAGCCAAACTATTATCTCACCTCCCTTTCACCCACTGACCCTGCCCCTCCTCTGTTCCTGTGAGGCGCCTCGCTCCCCGAAGCACACACCCCCCCCCTCCCCCCCCCCACCCCCCACGCTCCTCCCTGTCCTCCCATCTGCCAGAGACACCACTCCCCTCCCTCCCCCTGCTCGTCCTCCCGCTCTGAGCAGGAGGCCGAGCGGCCAGAGGAGGGACACGGCGCCCGTGTGACCTCACGCATGGCGGCGGGTGACGGGTGGCAATAGAAAAAAAAAGGGGGGGGGGAAGGGGGGTTAAAAGGAAAAGATAAAAGGGCATGAAAACATGAGTAAGCAAACGCTGATTATCTGGTGGGCTCACCTCTCTGTAGCCGTTGGGGATGGTGCCGGAAATCTCCTCAGTAGACGTCAAACAGCCCGCAGGACAGTATTTGCTGAGGAGATAAAAGGAAAGGCACGTGCGGTGAATATTGAACAGTCTGGTCGATCAACAAGAACTACCAAAAAAAAACAACTTTCTAGTTTTTACCTGAATTCTGCCTCGGGGAAATCAGTTCCTTTATCCAGGCAGGTGATTAGATCTGCAGAGAAAAAGGGGAAAAAAAAAAAAAAATGGTCAGGACTAGATTCTTCGCAGGTTTATGAAGAAAAATATATATTTTTTCCTTTGTGTTCCCCCTGCCCTCGTGGAAAACAACTTCCACGGCTTCTTCATGCAGCTCATCAACCCTTCTTATTCTTTCTCTCTCTCAAAAAAAAAAAGACAGCTGCAGATTGTGGTTAACAGACATGGGAATTTTCAAACAGTAAAAAACAAACTAAAAACAGACATTTCCCATCAAATTTTCCCAATGAGCTGTTAAAATTAACTTTTTTAATTAACTTTTTTTTTTTAACTCAATAACCTAAAGGTCAAATGATTGCGGACTCATCACTTGACCAATGCACCGAGAACGTGACAAACTTATCTTAAAAAACACTCGAAAATGTGACTACAGTTGACACGTACATCAGCAGTCAAAGGTCCGGCCACGCCCACCTATTCCTATGACCACTGTTGACAGCCTAAGAATTAAAAGGGAGGCACCACACACACACACACACACACACACACACACACCGTGCCTAAGAGCATATACTTGAGATCTCCAGTGACTGTATGCATCACTCGCTAAAGCTGTCCAGCTGTCCAGCCTCCTGGCTCTGCCTCTCAGCCCAGCATCAGAAGAAACCCTTTTACACCCACTCATTCAATCTGAACATTAATTCTCATTATTGATATCACAATTCACCATTAATTGACTCAGTAATGCCCTATTCGGAGGGCTTCGCGTGTAATAAACTGAAAATTTCAGCCCGGTCAGCAAATGGAAATTCCCACCAGCCATTTATCACTGAAAGCACCGTCAGGACAGCACCGACTCCACAATAAAGCAAACGCTTGCACTATATTGGCCACGCGAACCACAAAAGGCCGCTGTAATTGAAAATGTTTTCGTGCTTATGGGGACTCTATAGAGGGGAAGATGGGACTTTAACAAAGCTGTTAGCATTCCTCATCAGCGCGAGGTGAAATTCTGCAGAAATCAGTCCCAGAATTTAAAGGCCACTGAAGTTTTCAGCCGAGACCAAAGTAGTGGCTCATGGGCTGCACAGCCTTGGGAAGACACCGTCTGGGACCTTCCTGCTTCTTATTTTGGCTGCGAATCAATCCCAATAATTCAATGCACGAGCTTGAAAAAAAAATGATAAAGAAAAATAAGCTGCTAGACTCTTTATTTTTCCTCAGAAAAGGTCCAAGTTGTTCAGATATTCATTGTACCAAAAAAAAAAATTCTTATTAAAAAAAAAGACAATATTTCCTGCTTGTTCTCATATTTCAGAGGCCTGATGTAGGGGATGGCGAGCGTTCGTGGCGTGTTCCTGGGCTCTGCTGGGTGACGACACGGGTGCCTTGGCGGTGACGCGCTGCGCTGACCTCAGGGCTTGGAGGCCTTCGTGTAAACCTTGTGGCTGCGGTCAGTCTGAGTCTTGCCCACATGAACGTTCGCGCAAACATTCATCTGGCGAACCGGGCCAGTGAGTCAGGCAGAGAAATACCCCTCAGCCGCCTTAGGTCACCGTGGTTACGGACGGCCTCAGCGGTGGAAACTGTGGGCCCACGCTCACCTGTGTCATCGCTAACACGAGGAGAGGGCAGGAGCTGAAGAGTGTGGTGGGAAAAGCGGGCGGCCTCTCTCCTCACGAGACACGGTAATCCTTTTTTTAGTGGCTCGTCACTTCTTCCCCACAGGACAAAGAGTGCTTATTAAGGAGCCTGCTTCAAACTCAGCAGTAGCATCTGTCTGTAAGAATCTTTTCTTTTGGGGCCTTGTGGCTTATTTACGCCCCCCGTTGTTTGTTTCCAAAACCAAACGCCACTGGACACTTACTCCCCACCCTTGGTTTAAGAATTGGGGCAACTTCAAGATGCAGAACAAACTTTCTTCCCATTTGTTTGTAGATTTGTAAGATTAGTTCCTCTGTTCAAACCCTTCCTTTGTCCCATCTTAGCCATGCTGCCCGGCCTCCACCGTTTTAAGGGGTACACCTCCTTTTGTGGGGTTCGGGTACACTTCCACAAGGCTTTTGGAACACTAATGTCAGATAAAAGACTCTGTTTTTGTACGTCTTAAACCTATGATCCTCCCAGATTCAACTGGTGTTGACTAAAGTCAAGTTTGGAATCGCCATTGGAAGCATTTCTGGTGTTTGGGCCGCTTAAAACTGTCCACATGTACCTTTAGAACCTTTTAAGTTAAGGCTATTTTGAGGCTATAAACGGGACCAAGCTTCCTACAATAAAAACAAAGGTAGTGTCACTTTATGTCACTATATAACTAACACCAGCATTTAAAATCTGACTAAACCTGAATCGGAGAGCATTCCACACGACTGTCTACGCGTCAGCTGGAGCTGGAATTCCAGACATGCGGCCGATCAGAATTCCCCATTCCCGGCACAGCAGCGTCCTGTCACCGTCCAGTGTTTTAATGCCTTCTCAGTGGCCTGCAAACGCATCCCCGTTGGCTTCGGACGCAGCCGACACACTGAGCCCCAGTCCCCTTGAACACACTCCTGTTTTCCCTCTCTAATAACTAGGAGCATGAGGTGCTCGCAGAATTATGACCGCATCATGCAGAAATGTCTTTCATGAGAAGTGTGCTTCTCATCCAATGCAAGATTCTTATCAAACTATCTCCAGACTGGTAGAAAGAAGAAAAAAAACACTCAGATATTATTTGAATGTACTAAACAACAACAACACGATCCCCAACGCAGCGAGCCCTGATCCCACGTGGGGTGTTTTCACTTTTTTCTTCCCCCCCCAGACGGGCGGGATCCAAATTTGGCTTTGCAAGACGCTGTAAGAGCTCCGATTTTCAAAAGTTCATGTTTCGACTTGAAAAGAAAAAAGCGTCCTTGCACAAGTATAAAAAAAAAACTTGGGAAAAAAAACCTGGCTGGTATCAACTGTTTCAACCCTCTTAGCAACCCAGGGAAGGCGCATTGCTCAACAGGGCAGGCAGACGGTGCACAAAGCCGGTTCTGAGATGTGGAGAAACAGTGACGAGTTGCCAGCGTTTAGACAGGCTTGTTGGATGAAGGATTTGTGTTTCTGCCTCTTACATCTCTGACAGATCGGAGCTGTATGAACCAGCCGGGATTCGGAGAACCTCGGGTTCTGGTCTCCTGCTGGTGCCCCCAGTCAGAACCAAACAAGGAGAGGCTTCATTTCAGGTTTGTGCCCCTGAAATCTGGAATAGTCTTCCTGAAGGTTGGACAGGCCTCACCCCTGAAAATGTTGAAATCCGGGACGAAAACGGTTCTATTTAACTATTTTTTTTATTTTGTTGATTCAGTTTTCTTTCTTTGCTTTCTGCTCTTAAACTCTGTTAAGCACTTTGAATTGTCCTGGACGTAAAATGTGCCATACAAATAAACTTGTCTTGTCTTATAGGACGATTTAATTACTTCATGACCATGAAAATAAGAATGTGGATTCCTCCCCCAGGGACAGAAATGCAACCACAGTCAAAACCGAGGTGTGGTAATTAAAGAATTAGAGAACACCCCCTGCAGGATGAGCCCACCTGCGTGCTCGCTGGTGGAGTAGGACAGGTAGAACCCCCGTCCCGTTTGGTGCGTCCCGCTCATGAACTGGACGGTGACCTGGTGGCCCGAGGACTGGATCAGCTCATCCACCTTCAGGCCCAGACCGCAGTACTTCACTGTCCGGCGGTTAAAGGGGGGAAAGAAAGAAAAACGGAGCAGCTGGTTAGAGACGTGAACCTACTCCCTGTTCCATGTTTTCAGGCCGAAAAAGACAAAAGGCCAAACGACGCTTCATGCTGCCTCCTATTCGTCAGTCTCAGTCAGCAAAGACTTACCTCCAGGCTCTATTCTTTGCTAGCTACTCATCCGAATTCCTCGCCCCGAGTCTCAAAAAACAAAACTCAACAGCTGATTGGACAGTCAGCTGTGATCAGCATCTAGATTTTGACTCTAGAGACCGTTCTCTCTCGTCTTACTCCTGGCTGAACAGCAACGTGTTTTGCTTCGTTTACTTTATGGAAACGCAGTGGCCAAAATGAAGGTTTCTCTCTTTGAAACGCATGGAATTATCCATGGTTATGTTTTGGATCCATTAAAAATAGCCAGGGGGGAAAAAACAAAAGAAAAACAAGCCGAATTTGGTTATCTAAATAACCGAAATTGAAATAAAGAAAGGAAAACTACAGGGAAAAATAGTAAAATCCATAGAACATCCCTTCTAACTTTTTCACACCAAAAAATCTCGAAAGGTGAATTTAACAGTTACGTTTTAATCTCACAAAGGCGGCCAAGATACATTCCTCGCCCACTCACCCATCTCGCTCCGGTTGGATCCGACGCCGTTGTAGAGCCGGAGGTAGTTGACCTGGCAGTCGCTGTCTTCCAAGTCCAGCGAGGCGAACCGGAAGTGGATCCTCTCCCCGCGGGGCACGCTGATCTCCCACTCGCACACCGAGTGGTTGGGATAGGTCCTGGGGTAGCCCAGGGAGGACAGGGTCCCGCTGCTGGGGCCCAGCACGCTGGGGCCACAGCCATCTCCTGCAGGGGGAGACGCATCCAGAAACCTTAAGCGACAGCTTCCAGAGCACAGATCTGATCAGCTCTGCCTCGAGTCTGGTCGTCTCCCAAGTACCGACATTTGTCTATAATTAGGGGAGTGTAGTCCCTCCTCTATCCGCCTGGTGCTCCCTGCAACAGCACGAATATTTCCTCAAAAGCTGCTTCTCTCTCTGAATCTACCTTTCCGATTGCTGCCACAAACGGTTCCTTTTCGCCCTCATCTTTCCAAAAGCAATTCCGGCTTTCCCAGATGTTGTTTTTTTTATACCTCTTATGATGGCATTTCAGATAAGACATCTGATCAGAACCTCCCCCGCGGCGACCAAACCTTCCTGCGGCTTCGCGCAGACATCTGGCAGCTCGTCTTTCCCCTTTCCTTCAGCGGACGCATGCAGCCTAATCCCTTCCAGTGCAGATTTACTCCAAACTCCCACAGTTTCCCCTTTTTACCGTTAGTCCCGGCAATATTTCTGCAAGTCCGAAGGTGAAACATCTGAATGCTTCATACTCTTTATGCTTTATAGATATGTACATATACTTGCTTTATTCAAATGCAAAGGAAAATCTGTGGCTCTGCAGCTGAAAACACCAAAGACGGTCCTCTTTTGAACTGACTTAGCCCTGCTTATCGAAAAGGAACACCTGGATAAAAAAAAAAAAACACCCTACCTTTCCCTCAGTGGCTATTTCTCACTGCAGGGGATGCAATCAAGGGAAACAAGTGCCAACCTCGCCCTCTCTCTCTCTTTACAAAAACTCACAGCTACCATCCACCATGTGGATGAGGCCCGAGGAAGGCCCGGAAACAAACCCGGCAACTGGTGGAACCCAAAAAGGAGATTATTCAGCTCTACCTGACAGCAGATTGGGGCCAATGAAGTCGAAAACTGGAGCTTTTCTTCCATATCACCTCAAAGAGTTGCACTTATGATATCATCCAACACAGCTCACAGAATAAAGCGATCCGTCACATGGTCACAGTTACTGGCTGGTCCCCTGAGAGGTAGCGGTACAGGGATCCTGTCTTGGGGGGATTCAACACCACACAACTGAGTTTGCTGATGATTAATCCTAGGAAAAAAAGGTTGTACAGATCCTGGTGCGGTGGCCACATCTGTTGCTGCCAGTGACTGTGTGATAAGCGGCTTAAGAATGCCGGTAACCATGTGCACAGCTAAATATCTAAATATTTTGGTGAATTTCTGGTTTCACGTTTAAGTAAACTTGCTTCTTCTAAAACGAAAATGAACTCAGAGTTCTCTGCCCATTTGGTTGGTCTCGTTTGATCTGATTTGTCCCAAAATCTGTCCGGCAGGCTCCTCCTGTGGCCGTCACAACGCTGCTTTTGAAGGTTTTAGTCATATCAGCTTGCTAGGCTGATTCACAACACTATAAAAATGAGCTTTAACGGACAATTTTCAAACTTAGAAGTATGGCTCTGCATGTGGGGGGTTCACACAGTGATCGTACATGGGTTTTTTTACAACATAAAAATGTAAGCGGCACCAAAAAACAAACATTACAAGAGTCACACAAGTTATTATATACTGTAAATAAAGATAAATTAAAGAAGGCAAGAGGAGTAATTCTGTCTCAAATCGTATGAGGGTTCTTTAGCAGGACACATACGTTAAAAACAAAGCAAAAGAGTTGCCAATTTGGCAGATATTTTCATCACTGGTGAAAATATCTGCATCCTGTCTGTTTCCACCTCATTCAGGACAACCTGACGTGAGGGGATTCTGCTGAGTGGTCCGACTGAAACAACACCCGTCCCATGGCATCGTTTTGGACTCCACAAATCAACCGAGACAATCTGAAGCACTTAAACCCGGCGTAAACATTTATCTCTGGAACGCAGGTATGTTTGCTTGTGTCTGCTGAGCGCTGAGCTGTCAGTGGGCTGAATTGTGTTCTGTTGTCGTGTTGTCGATTCGTGGCTCCCTCACGGAACACTCGGCCAGTCACGCTTCATGGTGCTAAGTGGATGTTCTGTATGCTTGGGGTTATGCAAGAGCTCCTCCGTGGACATTATCCAGATGAACAGGACAAAAACAAAACAGCCTCCCTCACACTGACTCACAAATGGAACTGGACAACTGCAGGGTTACTCAGCCTGAGCTCACATTGTGTTGACTGATGCCTGAAACACTCAACAGATAACACTTTGGCTCATTGACAAATGATCCCAAGTCTTTGGTCATGTTACCTTTAAATGTTCCTTAAGTTAGAGAAATAAAAAATCTCTGCCCACGTGTTTACCACACATCCCCCCCTCCTGCCACCACCCCACCCCCAACTACAGCCACCTGAGTTTAACACAGCTCTGGGAAAGGCGATATATATATTCCTACGTGTGGAAAACCAAACCAAAACTGTTGAAAATAATCAATTAAAAAAAACACAAACTTTGCACTGCAGCATTTTTGTCTTTGTATGGTCAAGCTGCGCTAAATTAAACAAGGCCACGAGCTCTCACATGAGCTGCCCTTTAGTAAACAAAGATCTCGATTGCCATACTGGACATTTAAACGTTAACAGTTTGCTGGGACGCGCTAACAGGGAACATACGGTCGCTTTTGGGGATATATCGAATCATTTTAGGCCGCTTGTTAATTCGGCACGTACTTAATCCACCGAGGAGCGAGTATTACTTCACAAGTTGGGTTTTGGTGACCGGTTTGTCCGGTTCTCCCTTAACCGTCTTTCACCTAACTCACGGTGACGGGCGGCGGCATTGGTGTGTAAACCAACAGCGTGAACTCCACGTCCACACGGCCATGTAAGGCAGCTTTAACTTTGGCGGACGACAACGGTACACTTCAGCATCTATCCATACAACCGAACTTCTGGTTTTTCTCTTTTTTTTTTTTTAAACGGGCCTGGTTGGAAGTTTTTCGCGTTTCCCGCTGGGCTCTCCCAGTTGTCACCGCGGCGGAGGGGCACAAACCTTTCTGAGCTCGACAGCCCTCCTCGGTGAGAATGATGAGAATCGACAGGACGAGAACCCCGGCCCCTGTCGGTCCCCTGCCCACCATTACCGCTCTGCCCATAGCAGCCTGCAGTCCGAATGCATACTGCTCGCTTCTGGACCGGCCGCACCGCCTCGACCTGGACCGAAGAAACTCTAAACGTCCCGAACTCCTTGCTGGCGAATTCGCGCGTGGTTTCCTCCCGAGGATGGTTCTCTTTCTTCCTCTTCTTCTTCTTTTTTTTTTTTTTTTTTTTTTTAATTTGATTTCACTAGTCCTTTAACGCTCCAGTGGTTTGTGACACGCTCACTATGGAGGAGGTGACCGCTCCACACAAGCACAGCCAATCTGTGGAGCTACTTCCTCCACCGAGGCTCCGCCCCAGACCTGGAAGTGGGAAATCCGAGCCCCCCCAAACACTACCTGCTGCAAGCTAATTCTCACCAAAAGCAAGCTAAACTCCCATATACGAGTACATATCCCTCTATGGCATGAGTTTTTTGTTTTGTTTGGGGGGGGGGTATAATGAACACCATTTTTGGGAGCTTGGTTGTCCCTAAAAATGAATCAAATCATAAAATCCCAAACAGGGAACCCTCTAGTTGAGGCAACGGTGCTCACCACCAGCTGCCCCAAGTGTTGGTTAATGGTAAGGTTTTTTTTATTAGGTCTTCATATCACTGTGGTCATTTTTTTTGCAACTATTAACACAGATCCACTTTGTAGAATGATATAGTCTGAACAAAGAATTCCTAAGAAAAAAAAAACATATTTAACAATAGAAATAATGACAAATAAGTATTAGAATTGATCAAAAAACGTATTTGCATGCTAAGGAACATAAAAGTATGTTTTTTTAAAGTTACTGCATATTCACACATGTCGAAAAGTCTTTTTCAACTTACAATAGGCGGAGATGTACACAATTCCTCAAAAAATCATTCATCAGGACAAATATCACAAAAAGGATACACCCAATGGAGCTTTCAGCATCTTTTAAGAGTGTGGGAACCACAGATGACTTATGGTGAGTTGTTCTTAGCTTATGTCTCCTCTAGTGTCACGCAATTCAGCTGCTTTTCAGAAAAAAGATGACACGGCTATTCTGGGTGTTATCAGAGGAAGACACAAAAGCCAGAGCCTGTGGGGGTGTGAGTTGGAATCTGTGATCATGGTTTGGATGACTTGTATATGTGTGTGATTTCCAGTAAATGTGTAGTTATCGAACAAAACCACATGCTATTGCGACATGCTAAGTGACCAACAAGTCAAGCTATTAGAGGACACATTTTAAGAATTGCATCACATTTTTCAAAGAAGACAGCACAAGTACAAAAGTGCTTGACTTTTTAAATGCACTGCCCAAAAGTAGAAAAATGATGTGTAACTTTGTTGCCTCTGGAGTATCTGGAAGTTGCTTCTTCTTTGCAACATCCAGCAATTCAGCTAATGCAATTTCTTTTGTTTTACCCAGCTTTTTGCTCTTTGTTCAGGCATTTTTCAGCCGTATGCACTCTGGATTATAACAGAAGAGACCAGCTGTTAAAGTGACACAGACCAGAATGACTGTGGCTGATTAATGACTGGGTGGCACACATTATCCATACAGGTTTTGGCTGGACATTTCAGAATATCTCAGCGGAGACTTAAGAGACGTGTACTCATTATTATTCCCTAATACACCCTCGCCTGGCAAAGGCGTCAAAAGTGATGCAACAGTTGGGGTAACCAAGGGTAACAAGCGCAGCAACAAAAACAGTTTTTTAGCCTGCAGCGTCTTAGTAATATATGAGAGTTATTCTTTTTTATTTTCTATTTAACCTCTCTGGATACACGAGCCAGCATTTATATGAGTGTGTATGCAGATTATAGGCAGATGCAAGTGAGGGTGTGAGACAGAATAAATATGCAGACAAATTGCACATTGTGCCAGACATCTGCAGAAAGGGAATTCCCAGTACTTGACAATGGCAGGATTCTCTCAGAAACTCCCCATTAAAGCACAATGCAGATAACATGCATGCTAAAGATATAATACAAATGATAAACAGAAAGCTGTTCTAATTTCACCCAGCAGCAACTGCTGAAAGTAGTTAGTGGCTCTAACCTTTGCTACTCATTAAGCTAGGACTTACCCAGGTTTTGGCATTGTACTAAATGCACTATTGTTACACAAAACAACAATAATTATTTTCAAAAGTATAACATTTTCCTAGTTTTTAAACTGTGCATGATCGAAGATTTGTATTTAACCTGCCAAATCTGTTGTTCTTTCTAGTCAAGGAGCTCCCAGAAATTCCACAACTACGGCTCATCATGTTCCATTTGTATCATTATTATTTACTAATTCTACAGTAAGCAATTAAACTAACAGTTTTGTAATGAAATTATTTGGAAGATTCTTACCAACAAATACATTCAATTTGCCTTTGACTTTAATGAAGTATTCATTGAAAAGGAGCCACTTCCTTCTCGTCTGTTATGAAACTATATATTAAAAAGAGCTTTTCTTTACTTACTTTTTTAAAGGGGTGTTCTGTGTTCAGTGTTTTGTAGGGTTTTGAGGCTTTAACCCGAGATTTCTGAGCTGTGTTTGTGCTGAAGACACATTCAGCTTAATTATAAGACTGCCGTAAAAACTGTCACAGCTCTGCTGAAAAGCTTCATGTTACTTTCAGAGAAAAAGCTCAGACTCAGACTGTTTAATCAGACAGTGCCACAATGTGGCCATTCAGCATAATGACAAGCTGTGCACTATCTATCTATCTATCTATCTATCTATCTATCTATCTATCTATCTA